GAACAGAACTAGCTGGTACTGTGAAAGCATACATTTGGAAAATGTTATAAAATCATGTAGTTCGGATTGGAATGCTGAAATTTATTCCTTTTACCGTGAAATGTTGCAGAAAGATTTTTAATTAAAACACTTCGCTTTTGAAAGGTTACGTTTACTGTGACTTAATTCCCATGTTTTACATCTTTTTAAAGCCAAATTAAAAAAAAATCTAAGTATTTACATTACAGACTTCATAAGTATTGTGTATGATTAAAAGCATACATTGTAAAACAGGTTAAGGTTTGATTGGTAAATCGGAAGCATGACTTATGTAATTGTCCCTCAAAAATCAGCATACATAATTTACATGATTTTAAAACCCACTAGTATTACTGGATCTTCTGATAAATGTACGAACAACCAATCACAATTTCAGATTTTAGCAGAAACATATTTTATGAATGTTATGAGAATTGTATAATTGCCAATTGCCGAATGCTATATAATAAAAGAGGTTTAGCTTAGGGTAATGAATAAAATATATCTTCACTTGAAAGAGAGGCGTTTACCACAGTGATGGGAGCTTTACAGTTACTATGTTTCATATTTGTCATGCACATGAACGAAACCATTGGCCATTTATCTCAAAACAAAACCCTGCAAGAAAGTGGCAGTCGTATGTTCCCTACTATCGTTTCAGGCAAAGTGTCCAACGTGTTACGGGATATTCTGAACCAGGAAACGTTGAATCGCTTTTCTATGGTAGAGAAACTACAAAGTTTGGAAACAAAATTGAATCACTTGAACGAGACTTTACAAGTAATCAGTGCAAATAATGATCGACTTGCATCGACAGGAGAAATGTTGAAGAATTTGTCAGCTTCTCTAGATAAAACTTTTGAAATCACTTGAGGATCTCAGTAAATCAAGTTTGCAATGGTCAGGGATTTCTAGAAAGATGAATAGTAAGTAAGCAACTAAAAATATATAAAGCATAAATTTTGAGTTAAAAAGTGTGATATAGAGAAGTTAATATGAGGCCCATGGGCCACAACGCTCACCTGAGTAACTTTGGCCTGCTGTTCTTCACCAGATTTTCCCAATTTTATTACTTTTTGTTGCCTCACCCTACTCCCGGGGGTCATGATTTGAACAATTTAGAATGTACCACTTCATCAGAAAAGCTTCTACATAAGTTTTAGCTTTTTTGGCCAAGTAGTTCTTGAGGAGATTTTTTGAAAATTTATCCTACATATTTCAAAGTAAAACGTTGATTCACCATTGTGGCCCCATCCTCCCCCGGGTGTCATGATTTGAACAATTTAGAATTTACACTGCTTAAGAATGCTTCCACTTAAGTTTCAGCTTTTCTGGCCCAGTGGTTGTCAAGAAGATTTTTGAAGATTTTCCAATATATTTCAATGTAAGCCTTTGATTCCCTATTTTGACTCTACTCTACCTCCGGGGTTCATAATTTGAACAATTCAGAATCTGCACTAACCCAGGATGTTTACACGCAAGTCTCAGCTTTTCTGGCCTAGTGGTTCTTGAGGAGATTTCTAATGATCCCACCCTGTTTTTGTCTTTTCTTGATTATTTCCCCTTGCAAGGGGGCGTGGTCCTTCATTTTAACAATTTCACCTCCCTTTCACCCAAGGATGTTTTGTACCAACTTTGGCTAAATTTGGCCCAGTGGTTCTTGAGAAGAAGCTGAAAATGTGAAAAGTTCACAGACGGACAGACGGACGGATGATGGACAACAGGTGATCAGAAAAGATTTCTTGAGTTTTCAGCACTGGTGACCTAAAAAAAGGGTTGATTCTAAAAATAAAGTCACAGGATTGTTGCTAGATACTTGTGTAACCAAATGTTTTTTGTTTTATGAGGTTCTTCATCATTGAAATAATAAAAAAATAGAAACAAAAACAAATTATCGAATTGAGAGTGAGTTACAAATAAAAATATTAAAGTTTACGTCACCATTAGAAATCAAAATACAAATAGGTCATGAAGAATCACATATGTACAATCAAATTTAATAAAATTGTCTTAACTGCATATCCCCAAGCTATAGCAGACTCACATCCAGTCTCTCAAAACAGTAGGGATATCAAAAACATTCATGTGGTCTTTAGATAAATTAGCTCGAAGAATGTTGATCTATGAATTAACATACGTTTAAGGTACTCAATGTATAACGCAGGAATATTAATTTTGATTCATTCAAAAACTAGTTAAATATGTATTGCTAGATAATGATGAAAGTAAAATGAAACAAATTCACATGACTGATAACATTAAAAACCGGCCATTTTGCACCTTAAACGTTTTTGAAGAGTTATCTGCCCTTGAGGAAAAGAAGAAAATTTTAATTATGTTAAAATAGCTATTTCATATTTTAATAAAGAGAAGTTTCTGCATATTTTTACCAAAAGATTTTTATGAAATTCAAGCTACTTTTTACAAAATCGTAATAAAATACGTGCTGCCCATGGAATCAGGACAACTCGCCCCCAAGACAAGTTGCCTCAACACTATTAAAGACGGCTCGCCCCCAATTTAGGACAACTCACCCCACTCAAGACAGCTCGCCCTATTATAGAGACAACTCGCCCCCAATATTTTTTCTTGTGAATTGTAAGGGGAAAAAAATAACTTATTCAATTATGTATATTTTATATGCAAATTTAAATTATTATCAATATTTACGATTGTAATAGCCAGGCTATTTATTTTTTTTTTTATGCATTTACATCATATTTTTGTATAAAAACACAATGTATGCATAAAAGATTTATCATAATATCCATGCTTTCTTTATTTCTATTCTTATGAAATAGAGTGAATAAATGCATTTTGATTTATCATATTTTTTAAATTTATATTTATAAAGGAGCACATTGCCTTAAAGGGTTTTTATCACGTTTCAAAATTTTTTGATATGACAAAGTTTACATGCTATTAAAATCATATATTTAAAAATCATATATTTAAAAATCTTTGCTAGAAAATTAATATTTTTGATGTTTCAGCGATTCAAAGTTTGAATTTCTCAATATGCATATTTTGATCGCCGATGTTACGCGCCATTGCTCTGACGTCATAGGTGTCAATCCTGGTCAAGCGAAGTACTTATTGTGTATACAAAAGGGCTCATTTGTTGTGTCTTTTAAACCTGTTAGAAAATAATTAAGATAATTGAATAATTGACAACTTGTAAGGTATAATTTATGGCTTCATAGTGCACAAAAAAGGTTTTAGGTAGAATTTTTCCCCACATTTCCTGGACTTGGTCGAGAGATAAAAGGGGGACCTTTCTCTGCAAATGCGATGGTGTTTATCTCCATTCAGAACAATCGTTTGTGCCCGATCGATCACGATTTTATTCTTCTGTTCTATAAAATGTTTTAAGGAAAGATACTTTTCAAAAAAAATAATAAATGACAAACACGCATTTTTTAAAAGTCACACAGAATTTAGTAGGAATGTTGTGAACTTCGTAATGGCGTACGCGCCATTGAAGAAGTGTCATTTCTAGTACATGATATGCACTGTTAGAACAGATAGAAGATATACAGGATTTATTTATTTATAATTAATCAAAATAATAATGAAGAGGAATTTAAAATTCCCATATTAATAAATGTTTACGAAGTTAAACTTTAGTAATTCGTTCTATTTAGTTGAAGTCCCGAGTTGTCAACGGCTTCGTCTTCGGTGACCTCTCTCCAATTGTTGGCATATTTTCGGGTTATTTCTCTCTGCTAGACGTTCATACCTAAAAGATTGACCGTCCATAACCAAAGGAATATAGTCTATGTCAAAATTTCAACCGGCCATACTGTGTATTCTATTTATTTAGCGTAAAAATCTATTCAATATATTTTTTTCTTACGATAAGCTTTACGAGTTCTATTGACCATTGACACCTATGACGTTTCAGTACCACGTGACCCCTATCTAATTAGTGGAGATTTTTACTTCGAGGACCCTATATTACGGGCGTTTTATCGTCTAATTACGGCCGTTTTCTACATTATTTCATAATTAAACGATAACAAAATGTTTCAAGAATATAAAAGTGTTTCATTTTTAAGAAATTTAGATACGTGATAAAAACCCTTTAAGTGTTAAAACATCTTAATTATTTAATGACGAAATTAACGTTTAACTTGACGGCTTTAAGAAACTTATGATAATGATTATTACAATTTAAATGAAAACATCAGACAAAAATTTTAATGACACCCCCGAGCTAACAAATAATTTTGACACTTCAAAGTGACGACTAATTAGAACATGCAAGCTCCGAAAATTACGTATATTTAGTTGTTTAAAAAAAATTGGCGTGCCGTATCCAAGCTCCGAAGCAGGTTCAACGTGATGAAGAATTAAAGCATGCAAGCTCTGAAAATTACATATGTTTAGTTTTATTTGTGATGAAAATGTAAACAAATGTGTGAATTTAGTAAAGATGTATCAAAAAAGTGCCAGTACCGACAATAGATATTAGTGTTTAAATTATTTGTGTTGTGTTTTATTTTCAATAAAATTTCGAAATTTTATTTTCAGTTGTTTGTTTTATCTTTCTAGGAACATTTTTAAATTCAAAATATCTATATAATATATTTAATATTTGTTGGTTTCTTAAACTGGGGTCGAGTTGTCTTAAATGGGGGCGAGCTGTCCTGAATTGGGGGCGAGTTGTCCTGAATAAGAGGCGAGTTGTCTTGGGGGCGACCTGTCTTGGGGGCGAGTTGTCCAGGATTCCTACACATAGACTTGGTGCAATTGGTAAAATTGGTGCAACTGATCGGATAATAATTAAAAATTTGTAATTTCCCATGGTGGAGTACTTTTATTTTATGACACCTTCAAAATGCTACCATGATTAAAAATATCGGACCATTGATTTATTAAGTACAAAATATGATCGTTATAAATTGAATACCTAAAATACTCAGGCTTCTTTTTATTCAAATGATAGTGAAATATATGTATATCTGAAATATAAACCTAGTATGTTATATCACTCAGACTGTACAGAGAATAGTGATTGCTGGGACATTTTACGGAAATATCCGAGTCTACAGGGAGCAGATGGAGTTTATCCATTAACTATAGCCTCCAAGACAAAGTTTGTGTACTGTGACATGACAACAGAAGGGGGCGGTTGGACGGTAAGATAAAAATGTCACATGTTTTACAAAGACTAAATCGTATTTCTTTAGAGCTGCAAAAAGATTTCATTTTCAAACGCGTTCACCGGATTGTTAGTGAATTTTGAAATAATTATAACCTGCAAAACATTTCCTGTACTGTGACAAGGTTAGGGTAACTCAAACCCTAACCCTGAATATGATAACAGAAGGGGGAGGGTGGACGGTAAGATAAACCAGTCATGTGATTTACAAGGATAAGGAAAAGTTAGTTCTTTAAATTGTAGAGATCTCCATGTTTTTCCATTGTATTTATTAAGATTACACATATCTTTTTATTCAACCTACGTCACGTCAAATCAAATCTAAGACACAACCATCTTAAATGTTTTAGACCATACAAAGAAGACAGGACGGGACTACAGACTTTTATCGGACGTGGTCAGAATATAAACAAGGATTTGGGGATCCTTCTAAAAACTACTGGATTGGTAAGATTAGTTTATGTAACATTTAAATTAATATATTTTACGGTGTGACGGTTGGGGCGAGCGCAATTGTACCATCAAAAACCTATACACAGCTTACACTTGTAACGTTGATGGATCTTCAAACTTCAAACCGCACGAGACACAGTCTAGACTGTGACGTCACATGACGTCGGAATTTACGGAGATAGCCGAACGTCTGGTTGAAAAAGAATACAGTTCTTGTGCAAAATTGAATGAAATACGTTGTGGAGTAAATGCAATTGTTTTTTGTTTCTTTTAAGCTCTCTGCAAAGAAATAAAAGTAAAAGTATCTCTTGGAAAGGAACAATTATCCTTGGTCTTTTGTGTGTTTTATAATAATTTCTAATGGAACCCTGGCAGCGAAGGAATTCTGGGAAGGTTGCACAAGAAAATATGCCTGACGTATGTACAGATTTCATTCCGAATTTCCTCTGTTCTTACACGTTAGTCTATTGAGTTCGCTTCGCGAGCAGCTTTATCTCTTTAAATGTGTGGGTAAAATGCCATATAATCATATATACGCGGGTTGCCCGGTAAAATCGTGGACAAGTTGTTTATAGTGAAAAATAATCGGCACTGCGGTAAAACATTTTCACTATTCTTAAGTACATTTTTCATCAATATACATAGCAAATTTAATTTCAAATAGATATATGCTCAAATAAATAAAATATGAGATTTTATGATTTGTTCGGTATCACTTTACGACGCACGGGTGATAACGTCAAAGGTCTAAGCAGCGTCACGTTTCCTTTTTGCTTAAAAAAATTGGATAAACCCCACTAAAATTTGGAAATTTCTCTGAGGCACATATACTAATTGATTGATTAATTACTGCTTAACACCGAGTAAGCAATGTCTCAGCCATACTTCGGCGGAATGCACCTAGAGTTCACCTTTATTCCTCCATAAACAGTCCAGTTATGGACAGTACTCTCACTATTATTTAAGTACTGAAATAGGCATTCTTATATCGACGATGTGCAGTGATACATGTAACGTCTTTTGCTTTTGACAGTAGCTATTTTGTCTGTATGTCTTGTTCTACCCGGGGACTCCAAAAGCCGCTTAGAAAACTCTCATTTCACTTGTATACTCAAGATCTATTGATATTTCAAAAATATTTTTTCCTTATGTAATCATTTAAAGTCTTAAAGTCGTCGTTAGTTTTTAATCACACTGAACTGCTCATCAAACGTCTCCATTTTTCGCGTGTTGTGTATACCACTTTCCCATTTTTAATGCTCAGGAAACTGCCAGAATTAATTAAATGTCTTGAAATGAAGACATAATAAATTATGAGTTTTAAATGCGACTATTTTCACCCCAACCCTATCTATTTCATACTTTCATTTTTAAATAATACTCGCGTATTCTCTAATGAAACCCTTATTTTTTTGATTTTGTGCCGTAGGACCATACCCTCTCACATCAAACAAGCCACACAACGGCCCAGTCTTGTATTCCACCATATTTCAAGTTAAAGACTACACCTTGTATTTCCTACAAATATGCATCTAAACTTTTTAATTACAAAAAACACTTTACAGGGCATGGATATCGAATATCTGAAACATAATCCTCAATCGTGTTCATGTTCTTCTTCACCCTATAACTATAGTTCTGCTGGACACGTTATTACTGGTGACGTAAATATAGTTAATAATGAGGACCTTAGATCACTAGTTTTAAAAGGTCCTAAATATAGAGAACCCCGATCCTTCAACTGGCGTCGGAATTTCATAAATATTAAGGATTCTGTAGAGGATTACGCCAGGCGATGGGCCAGACATGGAAAAGAAGACCTTGACACTTTGTTAGAATGGATTAAATGTATCAGATGTATGTTAAAATCGCGCATTAAAAAATTGAGGGGCAATATGAGAACCATCTATCCTTCTGTATTCAATAATGCAGAAGTGAAAAAAGTATTAGATAGATTACACGATCAGTACGTACTGGTCCTGCTGACAAAGCAGGTAACAACATTGTCTTTGTTTGCAAGGCTCATTATATTAAATGTATTTCAGAGGAACTTGGATTTAATTCTACAAGTGGTAATCTAACTTATACTCATAGTTCCCTTTCTAAGGAAGAAATTCTTCAAAATCATATGTCAGTTTTGAATATTTTTAATATTGCAAACAACCAAAATGAATTTGAATTACCATATCTATATTGGATTCCGAAACTTCATAAAAATCCTTACAAACAACGATACATAGCGGGTTCCAGTAAATGTTCAACCAAGCCTCTTTCTTTACTCCTCACTAAGATATTAACAGTAGTGAAGGAGAAACTTCAAGAGTACTGTGCAACAATATATTCAAGAAGTGGTGTAAATCAGATGTGGATACTTAAAAATTCCAAGGAACTTTTGGAAAATTTGAAATCACAAGAATTTACCAAAATCAACAGCTTAAAAACTTACGACTTTTCAACACTTTATACAACCATTCCCCACGATAAATTGACGTCCAGACTTTTTGACATCATAGACAGTTGCATAAAAAATGGAACTCGTAAATATACTTACCTTGTCATTGGTTATTTGCAAAATTATTTTGTTAAAAAACATTGTGATTGTGCACACAAGCTAAGTACACTGAAGTTGATATTAAAAAGGTGCTTGAGTTTCTTATTGACAATATCTATGTGGTTTTTGGAGATCAGGTCTTCCAACAATCTGTTGGAATTCCTATGGGTTCTAATTGCGCCCCCTTATTAGCAGACCAATTTTTGTATTAATATGAAGCAGAATTTATTCAAAAACTTCTACATGAGAGGAAGAAAGCACCACTTGCTGTGGCCTTCAACACGACATTTCGTTATATCATCGACGTATTATCAATAAACAATAGTTACTTTCATTCATATGTCGACTCGATGTATCCCAGTGAGCTTGAAAAAAAGGATACCACAGATTCTGACACATCTGTTTCATATTTAGATATTTTACTAGAAAAAGACGTAAATAGTAACCTAACAAAAAAGCTTTATGATAAACGTGATGACTTCAACTTTTCAATCGTCAACTTCCCTTACTTATGTAGCAATACCCTTATCACCTGCATATTGGGTTTTACGTCTCTCAGTTGATTTGATACACAAGGGCGTGCTCTATGTTTGAACAATTTCTAAAACGAGGCAAACAATTGACAAATTTATGAAACAAGGATATCAACAGTCTCGTTTGAAGTCATCATTTCGCATGTTTTACGGTCGATACAATGACCTTGTCAGCATATACAAGCTGTCATTAAGTCAAATCCTCCATGGCACCTGATCCCACCTCTGATGTTTGGAGGTCCGTGTTTGCTCTGCTCCTATTTTGTATTGTATAATGGACTTTTGAGCTTGAATACTGTTCGTTATCTCCATATATTTCATGCTGACTGATATTTTTTCATAATAATTGTTAGACAATTATTTACACACTGAATTGTCTACGGATTTTCCCGTTTTTCTTCCCGATCATGACAAGGAGCACACGGCTGGTATGACCGGTCGGCAGGGGATGCTCACTCCTCCATGGCACCCGATCCCACCTCTAAATTTTGAGGTCCGTGTTTGCTCTGCTCCAAATTTGTATCATTTCATTGGACTTTTGAGATTGAATACTGTTCGTTATCTTCATATCTGATCTGATACAGTTTACTTTCATAAATGCAACAAGAGCACAATCTAATTAAAATCGGACTTCTTAGATCCGCTCCGTGTACGTTTGGCGCAGAGTATACGGCTCGGATCTAAGAAGTCTAATTTTAATTAGATTACATTAATTCGGAATAAATTCTATAGTAACATGGAATTACATTGAAGTGCTTGATAAAGATGCCATTATTTATTAAATGTTTATATTCAGCATAAAAAAGATTCTTTTTTCATTTATGCAAAAACACTGCATTTAGAATTAATTTACGAAATTAACTTGTTTGAAACATGCAATTACAGTGAAGTGTTGAATGTAGATGTCATACTTTATATAAAACTCAAATGAAACATTTTATTACGGTACTGAAAGCAAAATGTAATTTAAATAAATTAATTTATAATGCATTTCATTTATTGTGAAGAATCATTTTCCACAATGCATATATATTGCAAAAAATTACATTGAATTAGCGTTAAATAACCCTTACTTTTTTGACCTTGAAAAATAAGGTGCTCATTACGCTTTGTTTCAAATTTAAATTTTCCTCACTTTTTCAACGTTGAAGTATAGTTGCTCAACGTTAAAACTTTAATTCCACCTACTTTCAACGTTGAAACGACGTCGCGTGCCTGATGGGTAAGTACGAGGATGTCCGATATAAGGTGAACTCACCCTACATGTGATTGGTATTTGACCATTGTTCCATCAATATTTTAAAATGAATGACTTTAAAATTGCTCCATCAAATTCAAAAATTTCAATTGTTATGAATCAGTTCACGTTCCGTGTTGTAATGAAATTGAAATGAAATATATGGAGATAACGAACAGTATTCAAGCTCAAAAGACTATTAATCAATACAAAATAGGAGCAGAGCAAACACGGACCTCCAAACATCAGAGGTGGGATCAGGTGCCATGGAGGAGTGATCATCTCCTGCCGACCGGTCACACCCGCCGTGTGCTCCTTGTCATGATCGGGAAATAACGGAAAAATCCGTCGACAATTCAGTGTGTAAATAATGGCCTAACAATTAGTGTGAAAAACGTCAGTCAGCATTTGACTCAATGATATCAATGATAAATTGTATTTGCTGACAAGGTCATTGTATCGACCATAGAACTTACGAAATGATGACTTTAAACGAGACAGCTGATATTCTTGTTTCATCAACTTATTTGTCAATAATTTACCTCGTTTTAGAAATTGTACATACGTAGAGCATGCTCTTGCGTATCGAATCAACTGAGAGATATATACCCCGTATGCAGGTGATGAAGGTATATTGCTGCATAAGTAAGGGAAGTTGACGATTGAAAAGTTAGTCATCACGTTTATCATAAAGCTTGGTTGTTGGATTTCCATTAACGTCTTTTTCAAGTAAAATATCCAAATATGAAACAGATGTGTCAGACTCTGTGGTATCTTTTATCTCAAGTTCACAAGGATATATCGAATCGACATAAGAATGGAAATAGCCATTGTTAATTGACAATACGTCGTCGATATATCTAAATGTCGAGTTGAAGGCCACAGCAAGTGTTTTCTTCTTTTCACGTACAAGATTTTGGACAAATTCTGCTTCATATGAATACAAAAAAAGGTCTGCTAATAACGGGGCGCAAATGGTACCCATGGGAATTCCAATAGATTGTTGGAAGACCTGGTCTCCAAAAACCACATAGATATTGTCAATCAGAAACTCAAGCATCTTTTTAATGTCAACTTCAGAGTACTTGTGTGAACAATCAAAATGTTTTTAACAAACTAATTTTGCAAATAACCAATGACAAGGTAAGTATATTTACGAGTTCCATTTTTATTGAAAAAGCAGCTGTCAATGATATCAAAAAGCCTGGACTTTAATTTATCGTGGGGAACGGTTGTGTACTAAGTTGAAAAGTCGTAAGTTTTTAAGCTGTTGATTTTGGTAAAATCTTGTGATTTCAAATTTTCCAAAAGTTCCTTGGAATTTTTAAGTATCCACATCTGATTTACACCACTTCTCGAATATATTGTTGCACAGTACTCTTGAAGTTTCTCCTTCACCACTGTTAATATCTTAGTGAGGAGTAAAGATAGAGGCTTGGTTGAACATTTACTGGAACCCGCTATGTATCTTTGTTTGTAAGGAAACAATATAAGCTTCATTTTTAAAACGAACTATTTAATTTCAGAATTCTTTTTTAGATATAGGATTTCCCTTTTAAACTCATTCATACATCTCTAAATGCTCTTGAAATTCACACAATAAATTATCTTTCTATTTCCTTTTTTTCTTTTATTGTAACGATATGAAAACAATTGCTCAAAAAGAGACTCCAAATCTTAGAAGTTGTGTTTTCAAATCTGACGCAGCCTTCTTTAAATCTTGCTAGCTCAGGAATTTGAAACACTTAAACTGTTGTTAAACTGATATAAAGCCTGAATCAACATTTTATCCATATTGTCGTTGATAAACTGTTGATAAACAAGTTTTACAATTTAAGTCTTTTAATAATATGAACACTCTGTTCTGTCTATGAACAACAAAGTCCACCTATAAAGCATGCGCATATCTAAAGCGGGGTTGGGTTGAGGAGTCTCTACAACCCTTGTGTTTATTATGAGTTATTGAATTTATGTAAATTAATTTTTTTTAAAAAACAAATGACCTTGAACAAGTTATTTACGTTATTTATTTTTTTTTTGGCCAGTCAAAAAATATTTGAGTGGGTGTGGACCTTCCCCCATTCCTGGAAAAAACATCCTGGATCCACCAATATCTAGTCTTTTCGTACCTTAACAAATATAATTATCCTCTGCTTTGGGTTTGGGGGGTTAGGGTGTGGTCGGGAGAGATATCATGAATAAAACTTTTTTATCGATAGAATAGAACAGAATTAAGGAAATGTCACTTCTTTGAAAGTACGTATTCCCCTTAACTAGAGTGTTCCAAGGAATGCATGTGTCGCCTGCTTTATAGCATCATTAAATATTATAAACATCATAGGGTGATCAACTATTTATTTGCTACTACAATGTAACATCAATATTATAGCAGAGAAAGAAAATCCAGAAATAGTAAATCCGAAAGAATAGCACTTATCATATAAAATCTGACTATCAAATAGAAATATGATTCCCCAACCCTCAAAGCTTAAAAGAATAATGATATTGAAATAATGAAAAAATAATTTATTTTTTTTCATTTAATAAGTAGGCCTACGTGTTTAATCCAATTATCCTCAAAAAGAGATTTCAGTCTTTCTTCAGTCTACAACGATCCTTTTAGTATACCGAATCAGATGCATTTTCAGGTTATTTAAATTAAAATATTTGAATGCTAATTATCAAAACACTACCGTTCAAAATTAAAAACTCAAGTTTAATCAACCGTCCATAGTATTATTGCAAAGTAGGTCAAAGGTCAAGGTAAAGTGGAGGTAACGCTGGTGTTTTCTATGACGATTTATGGCAAACAATGCACATGGTTAATAGTATAGACTTAACTCTTAAATATCAAAGGTGTGCTGTATATCAACACAAAGAACTATTTTGAAAAAGTACGTCAAAAGTCAAGTTCAGCTGGGCAAGTTCAGTAACTATAGTATTTTACACAAACCAAAGTGTCGAGGAAAATACCAAGTACATACCTCTTACAGATCTCAAGATATAGGGTGTGACAGAGGGACAGACAGACAGACAGACGGACGCCGGGTAATGTAATCCCCAAGTGTCGCTCTGTTCTGCAGGTGACGTATAAAGCATAAAAATGTTTTGGAGATTTTTTTTTTTCGAATGAAAGGTTTTCCCACACGATAAACAAAAGACTTTTTGAATTGAATAATACTGTAAAATCACTTATTTTTCGAGGGTTTAAATTTTCTGAGTTTGATGAAAACGTATTGATTCGTGATTGAAGAAGTGATAAAACAAGATACTGGGGTTTGAAATTTTAACATTTTGAGAAAAACACTAATTTGTTGGTGTCTTCAAACCAGGAAAACAGGGATAATTAACCTCACGAAAATTACTGATCCATAATGTTTTTTGTCTAAGCAAGAGATATATGAATAGATTTTAAAATGAAATTCTTTGTCATGATTAGAGAAGTACTGGAATACTATTACCTACATGAAAGCATTCCTTTCAACAAGTTAATTCGGAATTTGATTGCGGCATAATATTTCTTGCCTCTGATACAAACTACTAAATAGTTAAGAACAAATATGTGCAACGGAATATAATTTGTTGATATTGTACCTGTATTAAATATAGAAGTGTTCCATGTAAGAAAAATTTTTCAAATTTTACAATTTAAAAAGATGAGATCTTTCGATGACTAAAATCTTTTTTTTTCAAATTTAATTAAATTTATATTAATTTTACATAATCAGATAAAACGGCTACACTTAACAATTAAATATAAGAGTGTGCTGATGTATTTTTTTTTTAAAAAAAGGAAATGATGCAATCTACGAGTTGACAAGAAACAAGGACCAGGAACTCCGGGTTGAGCTACAAAGATTTAATGGTGACAAAGCATACGCTAAGTACTCCACATTTTATGTTGGGGACGAAGGCAGTAAATACATACTCACTGTGTCGGGGTATTCAGGAACGGCAGGTATAGGCCTTTATATGATTTTACACACCTCACTGTTCCATGATGTTAAAGGTATCTGATCACAATTGCCGAGTTAAGGTTTCAATGATAGGAAACATACACTAAAACATTTTTAATATGTATGTTTTATATGCTTATCATTATTAAAAATGAAATAAAAATTAATTGACAAATCTAAACCTAAGATTATATCAAGCCTTTAGGATTATTTTGTATATTTGAAATTAAAGGAAACGCGATATTGCCTAAAAACACAGTAAATGATTAACAATTTCATTACAGAAGTAGGCTTTTTATACATATTTTATTTGTACTTTCCAAATATTTTGATTCGAATCGTATTCATAAATATATATGAAAAGTACGTAATAAATATAATTTCTATATTTAAACATTTGTATGTATAAATTAAATAATGAATGTTTTATTACCTAGGATAACGTTAATATAGATATACAGTACACGACAGTCTAATTCATGATGTTTTTTTTACTGTGATATTAATTGTTCTTGATAAGCAATGAATTTTAATGTTATCAATACCCTTTAACAGGTGATAGTATGGCTGATAACAATGGTATGAAATTTAGCACCAAAAATCAGGACAATGACCAGTATGGTAGTGGTGCCTGTGCTACCTCATATCACGGAGCCTGGTGGTACAACACCTGTACCCTCTCAAACCTTAACGGAGAATATATATATTCAGCTGTGTCTCGCCATAGTCGCCCGACTTGGTATAAATGGAAAGATAGATGGGAAGCATTAAAACAGTCTTTAATGATGATAAGGCACAGTTAACTAGAATTAATATGTGTTAATTCTTGCCATGTAATGATTTTAATATGATTTTTTTTACTTGTATCACAAAGAAATAGTGTTTAACATTTTACATCATTAAATTATCTCCGTATAAATTTATACTCTTTATCTTGTAATGGATAGCTACATTTCTGATCCTTATAATTATTATTTAGAACTACATTTGTGACAGTAGTATGTTTTCTATACATAGAACCAATTAGATATTCCTTGTTGTAAATAAATGTTTCAAATACAAGCAGGCATTATGAATTCATGTATAGAAAACAAACATTAATGCTTATAAAAAGTAACATTGAGCAGAACCAGATACAAACACGTGTTCTATTTTTACTTTCGTTGTTTAGCATATAAAATCAGGAAATGAAATACATGTACCAAAATACCAGTTCCTAGTTATAATCGTTGCGTTTGACGCAATAAATGTCACTCTCTGTGTGAAGTACATTACATGATGTATTCTGCAAAGTAAATTACATACGCGTGGAAGGCTAGAATTACGTAAACTGAAAATGAGTTAAAGGTAGTTTTGCAGTTGATGAATAAGATTTTCAATTGTTAACTTTTGAAAATGGCCTTTTATAGCAAAATGTGTTGCGTGTAAGGAAAAAAAAATCTAAACAAAAGATACATTGTGTTTTAGAAAGCTGTCATAATTCATTTATATGGCACGCAGATTGCTTCAAAATTATTTTCTGCACAACGATCACGATTTTATACACGAGCTTGATGATAAATATACACGAGTAAAATGAAAATGCACGTATCGGAAAAAATTGCACAGAAATTGTTTGAAAGATTTTAACACAATCATAACGAAAAATACACGAATCCGAAATTTTTTACACGATTAATGGGTATAAAATGCAGAAACGTAAAACAAAAACTGCACGAGCAGAGGAAACTAAAAATTACACAAATAATTTTACTGCGCACACAGCTGCGCATATCATAATTATGCACATAGAATATTCATTGTGTTCTTGGTTTTCTGTACTCTTTATCTCTTCTTAAATGCTGGATGTAATCGAGAGAAAATGGCGTTGACGATGATATGCATGTTTGTTTGCTTCTTTATTTCTTTGCTAAAACTCGATCCGATTTCTAGCTAATGCAAATCAAACGAATGAAGTGTTTTCTTGTGAACTGTGTGAAAAAAATTAAAAGTTGTTCGGATATATTACATTTTTCTTATATTGACCGAGATCCTAGCCAAAATATGGAGGTATAATATGATGCCGGACATAAATTGTGACAAGAAAGGAATCGCATGGTTGTGTTATAATGCGGGGGGAAAAGTACCATTGCATATGATGCACTCGACTCTGAACAAAAAGTAATACACAGCAAACTCTAAATTCCTAACGATAAACAGATCTTGCTTTTAAAAAATGGTAGAATTATTAATTTATTTTTTTTTCCCAAAATATACGCTCTATATGGCCTTTTAAAATTATCTAACGTATAGATAAACTTTAACGGAAATTACTTGTATAAAATAAAATTAACACATGCATAATAAAACGATTAATAAAGTGGATTCTTCATGAAAATGATGGCAGACTTATTGCTGATTATAATCATTAAATTGTAGAATTTATTTCGGTACTTCTCATTTGTACTAATTATGATTTCATTTGAGCAGATTTTTTTTTTCATTTGGGAATAGGAAATTATTCAGTATGCTGGATATATTTTTTATTTTCAAAAAGATTAAAAAGTGGGGATTACCTGACCTTAGATATACACAGTATGTTTTTAAAGTCAAATATAAAAAATATTTCTAATTATACATGTATCTTTACTTATAAAATATGAAGATATCAATTTTAGTTAGATATCTGTAGCCTACACTGTTATGAATTCCTTCCATGATATCGCATATTTTCAGTCAAAAACTGCTCATTAAAAAACAAGATATTCCTAAGGGTAAGTCTTACCCTCATTCGTAATGGCGATTACTTGATAAATGTTTACACTTTTAATAAAAAGGGCCAGATAAAGGAAAAATATATACTCTATGTGCTTTATTTACATCCGGTTTTGTGTTTTGTTACTTAAAATTTGTCCAAATGAAATAACAAAACTCTAATCAAATGATCCTGGCACCGGTAAAACTAATGACATTAGTGGCGGATCGGGTTCGTGGATTGATTGAGTCGCAACATCTGAATCTATGTATTTATCAAAGTTTCAAATCGTTGGAGCAAAATGACACATCAGAAATTTTAAAACAGTGAATTACTAAATACATCTGCATACAATGTTATAAACAAGAAAATGGGAATGGATATTATAATGAATACAAAGAACATAGAACGTGTTTTATCGCTCTTGAAAATGCAAATAAATCATGTTCTTCATGGAGCTCGAGGTTTGACAAAGATTTTCCAAGATAACAAATTTATTTACATTTCAAATTTGTATGCATGATATTTTAATTATTATCCGAACACTTGTTTTTTTGTAATAACACTTTTTTACCCAAATATATAGTCATTATAAAAAGAACATGACTGTATAATTATAAAATGAAAATAATCTTCAATAACATTCAAGGAACATATTTGATAAAGCTCCACTTTTTAATAGATTATTTATGTGCATATCAAACATTTTTGAAAAATCAGATTATGAGTTAAAAAGACTAATCAATGCAATATGAATTTTGTACGTATATATGTACAAGTAATTAAAAAGTTGCTTTATAGCAATATTGTACATGTGTATCAATGGCATCAATCAGGTCTTGTTTTACTTTGAGCATGACTACGAATAAATATAAGAAAACATATGATGAATATAAACTTCAAGAAATTTTTGTTTAATTACCGTGTGCAAATTTATTATTGTCAAAATCTGCATTGAAAATAAATATGCATGTGTAGCCAAGTCCCAGCTCATTAAGTTCATCTTGTACATCTTCTTGAATTTGGTCTTACAATATCGTTACAAATCAGTTGAATTGCAATCCTGATTTCGATAGACTATTATATGTACCCTTAAATTCTTAGAAAATATTACAGGCACGTAGCATCAGTAGGGGCCTGCCCCCCCCCCCCCCCCCCCCCCTACTTTTTTCCGAACATAACCTACTTCTATTGTAAATGTCCACTGAAAAAGCTGCCCCCCCCCCTGTTGTAGGAAAGTTTAAATCAAAGTAATTTGGTATTATAATGTGTTTCGAGAACAAAGTGGAAGGTGCCCCCCCCCCCCCCCCCCCCCACGAAATAGGATTTTCGAGTTTGGACACTTTACCTTTTTTGTTGCTTGTCAAGGTTTTTTTCAGGTAGGTTGTCAAAAAAAAAAAAAATCTGGCTGCCCCCCCCCCCCTTTCAAAAACGATACTACGTGCCTGTATTTTATAATTTTAAATTTCTTCACTCCTTTATATGCATTTTAACTATTCAAAATAGGCTACCGCCGGTACATTAAAAACAACATAAAATTAAGCTTCAATTCACATAAGTAAAACGACGTATAATTTTTCTACAGTTTCATGGAGTTTTATGAAATTATCACACGTTGCTCAAAAGTTAAGACTACATGTACTACTTTGTTACATACATAATTTTTTATCAAAAAGTGAGATATGCGTTTCAATATTAAAATTTCAGTTACGCAGTTATTTGCCCGATTTTCTTTACTGTTGAATTCCGAAAAGTTTTCGGTCAAATTCCACAACTCAGATGATCGCAACATTGCTTCAAAATCTTTGTATGAATTGCCAGGTATTATTGGTGTATGAAATAGCTATAAATCGATTAGCGTACAGGTGTCTTTCGTTCCAGAACCAACAGGGAGGGATCTCTGTATGAAAAGGTCACGCATGCACATCCTTGATTATTACCAAAAGTACACTCGGTGGGTGGTGGAGGAGAAGAGTTTGATTTGTTGTTAACTCTCCTGTATTATATCACATGTTATTTTTATTTATTTTAATTTAGGCCTATATGTCATTGTTTTAAACTTTCAAAAGAATTTGCTATTAAGAGGAATGACCTACTCAAAAAAATCCAACAATTAAACACACAACGGTAATATGCACACACCCCTTTTTTTACGTTATCTATACATGTATTCTTTGTAGAATGTTTTTTATTCGGGAGTGTTCATATACTACAAGTTTAAGATTGTGTACCTGTCAATTTATCTACATGTATAATATACGTTGTACATATTCTTAAGAGTCTAGCGGAATTTTAAAAGAATCGTTTTTAAAAAGATTACTAACACGTTACTCGTATTTATAGTGTGTTTCAAGCATCCAAGCCACATGCATTGACCTGTTCTCTAATGAATATTAATGAAACGTGCGCAATGAGGATGCGTTCCATATTATGTCGATGTTGTATTCTCACTCGTGCAGTTTTCGTTTTTACGTTTGTGTAATTTCTCACTATATCGTGTAAATATTTTGTTGATTGTGCAGTTTTTCTATAGTTTGTGTAAATTTCAATAACTTCGTGTATATTTTCCTCACTTTGTGTAAGTTTTTACTTACTCGTGTAATTTTTGTTTAAGGTCGCGCAGAAAATAATTTTGAAGCAATCGGTGTGCCATACATTTAAGCATAACTTCATTAGTATATTTCTGCTAAATGATATATATATATATTACAAAATATTACACAATTAAAATCTATAGCCTTTCTTAGCCTTATAGCCTTAGTACGTTTGAAGAATTATATTTAAGTGACGAACATTGTAGTTACAGGATACATCTGAATGGAAATTTATTTCAAGAGGCAAATATATCCCCCTCCCTTGTGAGTAAAAACTTGACCCAAAATTATATTATATGCCTTCATTCTTTGTTTTGTATGTTACAGGACATACAAATGTGTAAACCTTCCTTTATGGACTTTTTATAACAGTTATTTGATCTGATTTAAATTTGATCCTCTATCTAATAATTAAAAAAAATACATATATTATTAAAAATCCTCACTACTTTAGCTTACATTTAATATCCTTCATTGCTTAGGAATCTCT